ATAAAAGCAAAAACAAACAGACAAACTACTGAGACTATATCAAAATAAAAAGCTTCTGCACAGTGAAGGAAACAATCAACAAAATTAAAGGACAACCTACTGAATGGGAGAAGATATCTGCTAATGACATTTCCAATAAAGGATTAGTATCCAAAGTATATAAAGAACTTACACAAATAAACACCCAATATCAGAATGGATATAAAAACAAGACCCATCTATATGCTGCCTACAAGACACTCATTTTAGACCTAAAGACACCTGCAGATTGAAAGTGAGGGGATGAAGAACCATTTATCATGCTGGAGTAGCCATACTTATATTAGACAAACCAGATTTTCTACCAAAGACTGTAACAAGAGATGAAGAAGGGCATTACATCATAATCAAGGGGTCTATCCATCAAGAAGGTCTAACAATTGAAAATATTTATGTCCCAAACTTGGGCACAATCAAATATATAAATCAATTAATAACAAACATAAAGAAACTCATTGATAATAATAAAATAACAGTACGGCACTTTAACACCACACTTACAGCAATGGACAGATCATTTAAGTGGAAAATCAACAAGGAAACAATGGCTTTGAATGACACACTGGACCAGATGGACTTCACAGATATATACTGAGCATTCCATCCTAAAGCAACAGAATACTCATTCTTCTCGAGTGCACATGGAACATTCTCCAGGATAGATCACATACTGGGTCACAAATCAGCCCTTGACAAGTACAAAAAGATTGAGATCATACCAGGAATATTCTGAGGCCACAACACTATGAAACTAAGTCAACCACAAGAAAAAAATTTGGAAAGATCACAAATACATGGAGGTTAAAGAATATCCTACTAAAGAATGAATGGGTCAACCAGGAAATTAAAAAGTACACAGAAGCAAATGAAAAGAAAACATGACAGTCCAAAACCTTTGGGATGCAGTAAAGGCGGTCCTAAGAGGTTAAGTGTATTACAATATAGGCCTACCTCAAGGAGCAAGAAAAGTCTCAAATATACAACATAACCTTACACCTAAAAGAGTTAGAAAAGGAATAGCAAATAAAGCCTAAAGCCAGCAGAAGAAGGGAAATAATAAAGATTAGAACAAAAATAAACAATATAGAAACAAACAAAAAACAACAAAGAAACAAAACAGTAGGATAGATCAACGAAACTAGGAACTGGTTCTCTGAAAGAATTAATAAAATTGATAAACCCCTAGCCAGACGTATCAAGAAGAAAAGAGAAAGGACCCAAATAAATACAGTCACGAATGAAAGAGAAGAGATCACAACCAATACCACAGAAATACAACAATTATATGAGAATATTATGAAAAATTATATACCAACAAACTGGGCAATCTGGAAGAAATGGACAAATTCCTAGAAAAATACAAACTACCAAAAATGAAACAGGAAGAAATAGAAAATTTGAACAGACCCATAACCAGCAAAGAAATTGAATCAGTAATCAAAAATCTCCCAACAAACCAAAGTTCAGGGCCAGATGGCTTCCCCGCGGAATTCTACCAGACATTTAAAGAAGAGTTAACATCTATTCTTCTCAAACTGTTCCAAAAAATAGAAATGGAAGGAGAACTTCCAAACTCCTCCTACGAGGCCAGCATTACTTTGATTCCAAAACCGGACAAAGACTCCACTAAAAGGAGAACTCCAGGCCAATATCCCCGATGAAGATGAATGCAAAAATTTTCAACAAGATACTAGCAAACTGAACCCAACAGTACAAGGAAAGAATTATTCACCACCATCAAGTGGGAATTATTCCTGGGCTGCAGGAGTGGTTCAATATTCACAATCAATCAATATGATATACCACATTAATAAAAAAAGGGATAAGAACCATATGATCCTCTCAATAGATGCAGAAAAAGCATTTGCCAAAATACAGCATCCTTTCTTGATTAAAACCCTCAACAAAGTAGGGATAGATAGAACATCATGAACATAAACATCATAAAGGCCATATACGAGAGACCCGCAGCAAATATGATCCTCAATGGGGAAAAACTGAGAACAAGACAGGGATGTCCCACTCTCCCCATTACTATTTAACATAGTATGGGGAGTCTTAGCCTCAGCAATCAGACAACAAAAAGAAATAAATGGCAACCATATCATCAAGGAAGAAGTCAAACTTTCACTATTTGCAGATGACATGATATTCTATGTAGAACCCGAGAGACTCCACCAAAAAATTGCTAAAATGAATACATAAATTCAGCAAAGTCGCAGGATATAAAATTAACATACAGAAATCTGTTGCATTTCTTACACCAATAATGAAGCAGCAGAAAAAGAAATCAAGGAATTGATTCCATTTGCAATTGCACCAAAAATAAGATACCTATGAATAAACCTAACCAAAGAGGTAAAAGATCTGTACTCTGAAAACTATAGAACACTTATGAAAGAAATTGAGGAAGACACAAAGAAATGGAAAAGCATTCCATGCTCATGGATTAGAAGAATATACATTGTTAAAATGTCTATACTACCCAAAGCAATCTACATATTTAATGCCTTCCCTATCAAAATACCACCAGCATTTTTCACAGAGCTAGAACAAACAATCCTAAAATTTGTATGGAACCACAATTACTCTGAATAGCCAGAGAAATTCTGAAAATGAAAAGCAAGGCTGGAGGCATTATGATTCCAGATTTCAAGCTCTATTACAAAGCTGTCGTCATCAAGACAGCATGGTACTGGCACAAAAACAGACACATAGATCAATGGAACAGAATAGAGAGCCCAGAAATGGACCCTCAACTCTATGGCCAACTAATCTTCGACAAATCAGGAAAGAATATCCAATGGAAAAAAAAGGACAGTCTGTTCAATAAATGGTGCTGGGAAAACTGGACAGGAACACACAGAAAAAATGAAACTGGACCACTTTCTTACCCCATATACAAAAATAAATTCAAAAGGGATGAAAGACCTAAATGTGAGACAAGAAAGCATCAAAATCCTAGAGGAGAACACAGACGGCAACCTCTTTGACCTGGGCTATAGCAACTTCTTGCTAGACACATCACCAGAGGCAAGGGAAACAAAAGCAGAAATGAACTATTGGGTCTTCATCAAGATAAAAAGCTTCTGCACAGTGAAGGAAACAAACAATAAAACTAAAAGGCAGACTATGGAATGGGAGAAGATATTTGCAAATGACATATCTCATAAAGAGTTAGTATCCAAAATCTATAAATAACTTACCAAACTCACCCCAAAAACAAATAATCCAGTAAAGAAATGGGCAGAAGACGTGAACAGACACTTTTCCAAAGAAGACATCCAGATGGCTAACAGACACATGAAAAGATGCTCAACATCTCTCATCATCAGGGAAATACAAATCAAAACCAGGAGGAGATACCACCTCACACCAGTCAGAATGGCTAAAATTAACAACACAAGAAACAACAGATGTTGGCGAGGATGTGGAGAAAGGGGAACCCTCTTACACTCTGGTGGGAATGCAAGCTGGTGCAGCTACTCTGGAAAACAGTATGGAGGTTCCTCAAAAAGTTAAAAATAGAACTACCTTATGATCCAGCAAATGTACTTTTATTTACCCAAAGGACACAAAAATATAGATTCAAGGGGTAGGTGCACCCTAATGTTTATAGCAGCAGTATCAAAAATAGCCAAACCATGGAAAGAGACCAAATATTCATAGAATGATGAATGGATAAAGATGTGGCATATATATATATATTGGAATATTATTCAGCCATCAAAAAGAATGAAATCTTACCATTTGCAATGACATGGATGGAGCTAGACAGTATTATGCTCAGCAAAATAAGTCAGAGAAAGACAAAAACCCTATGATTTCACTCATATATGGAATTTAAGAAACAAAATAGATGAACATATGGGAGGAGGAAAAAAGAGAGAGAGAGAGAGAGAGAGAGAAGGAAACAAACCATAAGAGACTCTTAATGACAGAGAACAAACAGGGTTGATGGAAGGAGGTGGGAGGGGCATGGGAGATGGGTGATGGGCATTAAGGAGGGCACTTGTTGGTGCGCCTGGGTGGCTCAGTCGTTAAGGGTCTGCCTTAGGCTCAGGTCATGATCCCAGGGTCCAGGGATCGAGCCCCGCATCAGGCTCTCTGCTCGGCGGGAGGCCTGCTTCTCCCTCTCCCACTCCCCCTGCTTGTGTTCCCTCTCTCGCTGTCTCTCTCTCTGTCAAATAAATGAATGAAATCTTTAAAAAAAAAAAAAAGGAGGGCACTTGTTATGATGAGTACTGGGTGTTGTAAGTAAGTGATGAATCACTGAATTCTACTCCTGAAACCAATATTGCACAGTATGTTAACTAGAATTTAAATAAAAATTAAAAACAAAAAGCAAAAAACAAAAAACCTGGGTAGCTCAGTTTGTTAAGCAGCCAACTCTTGATTTCGGCTCAGGTCATGATTTCCGGGTCCTAGGACTGAGCCCCACGTCAGGCTCTGTGCTCAGTGGGGCTGAGTATGCTTGAGGATTCTCTCTCCCTCTGCCCCCACCTCAGGCTGGCTCTCTCTCTCTCTCTCTCAAATAAATAAATAAATAAATATTTAAAAACAAAAACAAACACCCAAAAAACAAATAATCCAATTAAAAAATTGGCAGGAAACATGAACAGGCATTTTCCAAACAAGACATTCAGGTGGCCAACAGACACATGAAAAGATGCTCAACATCACTCATCATCAGGAAAATACAAATCAAACCTACAATTGAGACATCACCTCACACCTCTCAGAATGGCTAAAATCAAAAACAGAAGAAACAACAGGTGTTGGTGAGGATGTACAGAAAAAGGAACACTCATGCACGGTTGTTGGGAATGCAAACTGGTGCAGCCACTCTGGAAAACAGTATGGAGGTTACTCAAAAAGTTAAAAATAGAACTACCCTATAATACAGCAATCACCCTACTGGGTATTTACCCAAAGAATACAAAAACACTAATTCAAAGAAATACATGGACCCTTATGTTTACTGTAGCATAATAAAACCAATAGCCAAATTACAGAAGCAGCCAGCCCAAGTATCCATCAATTGATGAACGGATAAAGAAGATAATAGTATATATATACAATGGAATATTACTCAGCCATAAAAAGAATGAAATCTTGCTATTTGCAACAACATGGATGCAGCTAGAGAATATAATGCTGAGCAAAATAAGTCGGTCAGAGAAAGACAAATACCATATGACTCCACTCACATGTGGAACTTAAGAAACAAAACAAAGAAAAAAAACAACAACAGGAAACAGACTTAACTATGGAGAACAAACTGGTGGTTGCCAGAGGAGAGATGGGGGGGGATGGGGGGGATGGGTGAAATAAAGGGGATTAGGAGTACACTTATTGTGATGAGCACTGAGTAATGTATGGGATTGTTGAATCACTAATATTGTACACTTGAAACTAATATAACATTATATCTTAATCATCCTGGAATTAAAAACAAAAAAATTTTTAAAATAGTGATTTCAGAAACCCAGCCCCAGCTCCCGCGTTGTGTTTTTCCAAACTGTTGCTATTCAAGTTCACTTTATCTGAATCTTGATTCAAACAAACCAACTGTAAAAGAGGTATTTATGAGACAACTGAGGAGGTATGAGCTGTATATTTTATGTTGTGGAAATACTGTTAACTTTTTAGGTATGATACAGCATTGTGGTTATGTCCTTCTCTTCTGGAGAAATTTACTGGATTCACAGGTGGAAAATAAAATACATGGGATTAACTTTAAAATAATCTTTTGTGGGGGGTGAGAAAGGAAGTAGAAATAGGGCGTAGATGAGATTGGGTACGTATATGCTAATTGTTGAAGTGAGGTGATGGGTACCTGGGTGTTCATTATACTGCTCTCTTTACTCTTACATGTGTTTAAAATTTTCCGTAATAACAATTTGTTGGTTTTTTAAAAGATGGTTTTCAGGGGAGAGCAGGGGAAAAAAATAAGTCTAATGATACTGATGCATAATTTTAGATAACTTAAAATTTCTTTATTTTTTAAAAAGATTTTATTTATTTGAGAGAAGGAGAGAGAGAGGGAGAGATCACGAGCAGGGGAGAAGGGTAGAGAGAGCAGCAGACTCCCCACTGAGCAGGGAGCCCTATGCAGGACTTGATCCCAGAACCCCGAGATCACGACCTGAGCTGAAGGCAGAAGCTTAACCAACTGAGCCACCCAGGCGCCCTGATAACTTAAAATTTAAAAAGCAACTTCTAACAAGGATATATTTCTCATTTGAGTTAATGAAGTTATAGTAAACTAAGTTATTTTAGTTCTTCTACTGTTATTTAAATGACAAATCTTAGGGGCTCCTGGTTGGTTCAGTCAGTGGAACATGCAAGTCTTGATTTGGGATCATGAGTTCGAATCCATGTTGGGTGTAGCGATTACTTTAAAAAAAAAAAAAGGTGGGGCAACTGGGTGGCTCATCGGTTAAGTGTCCCACTCTTAATTTTGGCTCAGGTCATGATCTCAGGGTTGTGAGATCTTGCTTAAGATTCTCTCCCCCTCTCCAACTCCCTCTCTAGGAAAAAAAATAAAAAGGAAAATCTCAGCATTTAGTCTTTTTTTTTTTTAATTTTTTATTTATTCTTTTGAGAGAGAGAGACAGAGAGAGCACAAGCAGGGGGAGAGGCAGAGAGAGGGAAAAGCAGACTCCCCACCGAGCTGGGAGCCCAACACGGGGCTCGATCCCAGAACCTGGAGATCATGACCCGACACCTAACCATCTGAGCCACACAGGCGCCCCAGTCTTTTTTTTTAGATTTTATTTATGGGACGCCTGGGTGGCTCAGTCGTTAAGCGTCTGCCTTTGGCTCAGGTCATGATCCCAGGGTCCTGGGATCGAGCCCCACATCAGGCTCCCTGTTCTGCAGGAAGCCTGCTTCTCCCTCTCCCACTCCCCCTGCTTGTGTTCCTGCTCTCACTCTATGTCAAATAAATAAAAATTAAAAAAAAAAAAACTTAAAAAAAAAGATTTTATTTATCCACTTGAGAGAGAACGAGAGAGAGAGAGAGCTCGTGCAAGCACGAGCAGGGGGAAAAGCAGAGGGAGAAAGGGAGAAGCAGACTCCACTGAGCAGGGAGCCCAATGTGAGAGTCGATCCCAGGAACCCAGGATCATGCCCTGAGCAGAAGGCAGATGCTTAACCGACTGAGCCACCCAGGCATCCCTTTACTCTTCTATCTTAAGAACCTTAACCAAAACCAGGGGTCCCTGGCTGGCTCAGTCAGTGGAGTGTGCAACTCCTGATCTTGGGGTTGAGTTCAAGCCCCATGTTGGGTATAGAGATAGTTAAAAATATTTTTTAAAAAAGTAACCTCCAGAGCACCTGGGTGGCTCAGTTGGTTAAGCAGCTGCTTTCAGCTCAGGTCATGATCCCAGGGTGTTGGGATCGAGCCCCACATTCGGGTCCCCGCTCAGCAGGGAGCCTGCTTCTCCCTCTGCCACTCCCCCTGCTTGTGCTCTCTCTCTCTCTCTGACAAATAAAATCTTTAAGAAAAATTAAAATTAAAAAAGAGCATTAAAAAAAAAAGTAACCTCTCCCAAAACTAGATAGGCAAATTATGTAAGGAAAGTGATTTTTTAGTGTAATTATGCACAAACCCAATTTCAATACCAAAATCAAGATTCATTCATTCAACGGATAGTCACTGAGCATCTTGCCAGGGGCTCTTGGGTACTGAAGATCTACATATGCCAGAATAGGGACTTAAAATAAAAATCTGTTTGTAATAAAAACACCCAGGAAGTTATATATCTTACATACATTATTTCATTTAGTCCTTACAACAGTTCTGCAAGACAGCTACGAATAGGCCCAAATGAGGACAGCAAGGTTCAGAGACAATGAGTCACCGGCCCCTAAGTGGCTAGTGGATGAACCAGGATTATAAACCAGTCAACCCGCCGCTGGGGCTCTTCCACTACACATGGCCTGAAGTCCCCTAACCTGGCAGACGACATCATGCTTGGTTTGAAGCAGTGCCTGAGTCCTCTATACAGATCAACTCTCCTCAAACCGTGCTCCTTGGAACACTGCTTCTGTGTGGGTCAGGGGCTTAGTTGCAAGTAGGAGAAGCCAACTTTGGTTAAACAGAAAACGTATCACTGAAAGGACACTGGGTAACTCAGAGAATTTGGGGGAGGTCTACAGAGACCAGTCTAAGACTAAACTTAGAAAAAAAAAAATGCCCAAACTCATGCTATCCAACTGGCCTGATGAAACCGGGGCCACCACCAGCAAGCACCACTGAGCACCCTGAAACAGAAACGCAGCTCTCCAGCCTCCCCGCATGGCCACTTCCCAGATGCAAAGGAGTCAAGGGTGTGTTCTAGGTTGTGTGGGAGAAGCTGGACTGATTTGGCTGCTATTCCCAAACCCAGCAAGAGTACTCAACAGGAGCTTGGTAAAGAGAAACCAAGCATCCACAGTGAGTGCTAAGTTATGTCACAAAATGGCAGGGAAACAGGGCGCCTGGGTGGCTCAGTTGGTTAAGCGACTGCCTTCGGCTCAGGTCATGATCCTGGAGTCCTGGGATCGAGTCCCGCATCGGGCTCCCTGCTCGGCGAGGAGCCTGCTTCTCCCTCTGACCCTCCTCCCTCTCATGCTCTCTGTATCTCATTCTCTCTGTCTCAAATAAATAAATAAAATCTTAAAAAAAAAAAAAAAAATGGGAGGGAAACAGGCAGAAGCTGTTTCTCTACTGCAGGGCTTCTTGGAGCTTCTAATAAACTTTGGAGCATGGGGAATTCCAAGAGGAGGATGTTCCCAAAATGCATGATCACAGAACCTTTATTTCTGTAACAGGATACATGGGACGAGAAAGGGTGATGGGCTTCAGGCTCAAGTGCTACCCCTCTCTGGCTCCCACTGGGCCTCACTCGTGTGACTTCCAAAAGCTCTCACTCCTCTGGTCCCCCTTGCCGAACTCTAGCTCAAGAGCCCACACGTGTCCCCTGGACTGTAGCAGCAGCTCCCAGGCCATGTCCCTTCAGTCCACAGTAGTCATCATCATCAAATGCAAACCCAGTTGTCACCGCGCTACTCAAAACTCTCGGTGGCTTCCCACTGCCCTTGCAGTAGTCCCGACCCCTGGTTCCTACTTGCTGCCAGTCTCATCTCTCGCCACAACCCCTCTCCAACTCCATGCTGCCAGCCACATTCAAAAACTGCCTGTGTGCGCCCCCAGTGACCCTTCAGATCCATTTGGAAAGAACTTCTTTAGAGAGCCCAGTGCAGGCTGGACCCCCTTCCCCTGGGCATCTACACTTACCTGGCATAGCATTTAAAAAACATGGTAACTGCTGGATCATTGGTCTGCATTCCCCACTGGTTCTGAGAGGGCAAAGAGTCTACCTCACACATTTTTCATACCTTCATACCCAGCAAAGCACTTGCCACGCACATAAAAAGCAGTCTGCAAAAATGATACTTGCCGGTAAGACATCCTTTTACTCTCATTTTTGTCTCTCACACAATCAGACTTGCATAGCAATTAATCATACATTAAAAACATGTTTTTAAAATGTGTTTCATGATGCAGACAAGATGCGCTCCCAATTTTTAGAGGGTAAAAGAAATTCTACTTACTCAGTGCAAAAGCATATAGAAAGTGTAGTCTGAAGGAAGAATAAAACTTGAGTTTCTATGGTCTTGGCAGGAGGAAATGACAGGGGAGCTGCTGATAATGAGGGCAGAGCATCTTCAGCTAGAACAATTCTTAGCCCAGTCTCCATAAAATGTCAATCAAGGGGCGCCCGGCTGGCTCAGCTGGAAACACATGACTATTTTTTAATGTTTGAGAGTGCAGGTATGCATTGCGGGGGGGGAAGGGCAGAGGGAGGAGACTCCCCACTGAGCAGGGAGCCCGATGTGGGGCTTGACCCCAGGACCCCGAGATCATGACCCAAGCCAAAAAGCAGACACTTGACTGAGCCACCCAGGCGCCCCAGAACACATGACTCTTGATCTTGGGGGCTTTAGTTCAAGCCCCATGTGGAGTATAGAGATTACTTAAAAAAACAAAACAGAAAAACAACTTAGGGGCACCTGGGTGGCTCAGTCGGTTAAGCATCTGCCTTCGGCTCAGGTCATGATCTCAGGGTCCTGGGATCAAGTTCCGCATCGGGCTCCCTGCTCAGGAGGGGAGTCTGCTTCTCCCTCTCCCTCTGCTTGTGTTCTCGCTCACTCACTCTCTCTCTCAAATAAATAAAGCCTTAAAAAAAAAAAACACAACTTAAAGAAAACATCAATCAAGAGTCCAGTTCTAAAGGAGAAAAGAGCTCCTCAAAAAACAGCACAATCGGAGAGTCACAAGCCTTGATGTTTTCAGTGAGGCTGCTTAAATGGGAAACACCTAGAACCGTTTTAGGTTTCTTAATCATTAGGGGCCAAAAATCCTTTCTCTTTGTATTTAGTTCACTATTCAAGAGTTTGCTTGATTCAAAAGATAAGCAGAATTTCCGCATGGTTATCTCAACTGAGATGTTGACACTGGGTGAAGTTCCAACAATGAGTTGTTTTCTTTTAGGATTTAAACTAGATTTACAGAGTACGGCCTCTGTAGCGTACTTGACATAAACCTGGGTGGTTGGCATTATGTCAATTTTATAAATGAGGAAACTAAGGTTACATAATTTGCCTGAAGTCACAAAACAAGCAAGTAGTACATCTGAGATTCAAATCCAGAAATTCTGGAATAACAGTCTTTTTTTAAGATTTTATTTATTAGGGCGCCTGGGTGGCTCAGTCGTTGGGCGTCTGCCTTCGGCTCGGGTCATGATCCCAGGGTCCTGGGATCGAGTCCCATATCGGGCTCCCTGCTCAGCAGGAAGCCTGCTTCTCCCACTCCCCCTGCTTGTGTTCCTGCTCTCGCTGTCAAATGAATAAAATCTTAAAAAAAAAAAAAGATTTTATTTATTAGGGGCGCCTGGGTGGCTCAGTCGTTGGGCATCTGCCTTCGGCTCAGGTCATGATGCCAGCGTCCTGGGATTGAGCCCCGCATGGGGCTCCCTGTTCAGCGGGAAGCCTGCTTCTCCCTCTCCCACCCCCCTGCTTGTGTTCCCTCTCTCGCTGGGTCTCTGTCAAATAAATAAATAAAATCTTAAAAAAAAAAAGATTTTATTAATTTGAGAGAGGGCTCGAGTGGGGAGGGAGGGTCAGACGGAGGAGGAGCAGCAGACTCCCCGCTGAGCAGGGAGCCCAATGCGGAACTTGATCCCAGGACCCTGAGATCATGACCTGAACCAAAGACTGACACTTCACCGACTGAGCCACCCAAGCGCCCCAAGAATCTACATTCTTAATCATCACATTCTAATGGCTCCTGAATTAAGTTCAACACACACACACAAACATCGTTTCAATCTGAGTCAAGAGACTTGGATCCTGGTGCTAGCTCTGTCTTTAATAAGTTGTGGAGAGCCATAATAAAGGCACTCTGAAAATCTGAGACTGTCTTTCCCACCTGTAATATGGGGCTGGACTCAACAGTAATTTCCAGATAGTGCAGAAGGGGGCATGAGAGGGTGATACTTTGTCCATTTCAACTAGACCGGACTTTTTTGGAAAATGTTCTGCTAGAAGTAAAGGGATGAAAAATCTTTGGAACCAAAGTTTCTTTCTTGGAGTGAGATTCCAAGCAGTCTAACATCAAGAAATCCTTGAAAGCAGGGCGCCCGGGGGGCTCAGTTGGTTAAGCATCTGCCTTCGGCTCAACTCATAATCTCAGGGTCCTGGGATTGAGTCTCCCATCAGGCTCCCTACTTGGTGGGGGGTCTGCTTCTCCCTCTCCCTCTGTTCTCCCCACCCCCGGCTTGTGCTCTCTCTCTCAAAAAGAATAAAACCTTTTTTTTTCCCAAAGATTTTTATTTATTTGGCAGAGAGAGACAGACAGTGAGAGAGTGGGAACACAAGCAGAGGGAATGGGAGAGGGAGAAGCAGGCTTCCCACTGAGCAGGAAGCCTGATGCAGGGCTCCATCCCAGGACCCTGGGACCATGACCTGAGCCGGAGGCAGACGCTTAACGACTGAGCCACCCAGGTGCCCTGAATAAATAAAATCTTAAGAAAAAAAGGAAGAAATCCTTGAAAGCATGCCAAGTATATGTACACACACAGGTCTATTTTTCTAGGGGAAAAGATTCAAGGCTTTCATTAAATATTCAAAGTACTTGATTATTCCAAAAAGGATTAAGGACCTATAAAATCCTTCTTCTGCTTTACATTCTTAGAGCAAACAGTCAATCCAAATTTGTAAAGCACAATGGAGGAAACCTGCATTTCCTGATTAGGAGCCAAATGTCATTACACAATGATGAGTAAGACAAATTAAAGGTAATCACAGCTTAATAAACTGGAGGTCTATAACTGCTACTTGAAACTTGCTCTTATAGACAGAGTTAAAGGGAGATATCTCATTTGGAACTAGCGTGTATCTGACACGTGGTATGTTTTTAACATGAATCAAGGAAAAAAGCCCGATCACTAATTATATATAAAGTATTTATTTTTATGCACATATTTACCTACAAAATTTACAGAAAATCAAACAGTGCCGAATATATAGAATACCCTCTGATGACTCTGTAGGAGCAGAGGGTCTTATTGCTGCAGTTTCGAGAATAAAATCTTACACAGGTGAAAGCCAAGATGAACACAGTTAAGTTAAATGGTAGCCTTGTTAAAAAGTTTTTGTCCTGTGAGTGAATTTTCAGCTTTCTGTTAAGTGGAATTTAAAAGACTGCTCGTGAAATAATTTAAACCTTTTCAAAATCTTCTAATAAACAGGTAAAAGGCACCTCCAGTTCTTTAAAATATTTACAGCAATCCCAATAGTTTAAGATTAAGGGCAATTATAGTACAGGCGGCTAAAATGCATACACAGTATGTCATCAGCACTCTCGGAACAGTGAGAACTGTGGACTCTAGTTGGGGGCGCCGCTCCCAAGCCAGCCCGTGATGGCGCGGCCGATTGCACCCGAGCAACACCAGTCTAACGGCACGCCCACCATGGCTACTATGCAATGGTCTCAAACGAGGACTATCAAATTCCCAGACGGTACATAATTTATACCTAAACGTGGATATTCAGAAGCTTTTGGAGTGTTCTTAAAATTATTAAAAAAATATAAAGTATATTTAGCATTGAAGGAAAAGAACAAACTGGAAATGGTTACCACGAGAGTGGCTGAAGTTCACTATCTGGTTTAACAAGAATGGTTTCTCAGAACATCTACTGATTTCTCACAACATAATGGAGATGAGTCTTCCTCAGTTCACACTCAATCCGACGTTTTTCTTGCATTATGATTAAAACAGAGGGGTGGAAGAATGACAGGCACAGCTATGTGAGACAGCCGGGTTCAAAGAGCCGTGGGGACGGCAAGCATGCCCCTATGATACTGTGCAGGAGAACAAAGTCCGCAGGACGCTTCCCTCTTTGACATTGGCATTGATTTGCTATTTACAGTAGTTTGCAAAAATACATTATAAAAACTGGATGAGGTTCTGTTTCTAAGTTTAACTTAGTAACGTACAGATATACTTCATCTGCAAAAGTCTCTGCAGGGTCTGAAGTACTAAAGTGACAGTAATACTGTATGTAACACAGATAATCAAGGTACCAGCACGGGCGAGGCCAGTCACCATCATTGAGACCATCTGGGTAAATATTGCACACTTCTTGTCAGCTGTTGCTATGACCTTCACATATCCGACTGTAAAAGGAATCCTTTATGGCTTTTTGCTGTATCACTTATTTGAAGAAAGGCTGTTTTAGGTCCCATAACAATGAGTGCAGATTGTCACTGAACATGAGGCCTAGGTTTCAAAATGAGTTTTCCTGTCTGTAAAAATGGGGGGGAAAAAAAAGTTTTTTCAATACACAGTTCCATTAAAAACATCACCACCTATCCATAAACCTTGACGTGCATCTGAAGGGTACCAGAACACCCCTCTATATGAAGTAAAGGTTAAGCAATTAATAGTTATGTTTTCAAAGTTTTGTGTGGAGCTTTCTTCCTAAAATCTTCGTTACTTTTTTTTCAAAGATTTTATTTATGTATTAGAGAGAGGGAGCGAGCAGGGGGAGCGACAGGCAGAGGGAGAAGCAGCCTCCCCGCTGAGCAAGGAGCCTGATGTGGGGCTTGATCCCAGGCCCCTGGGATCATGACCTGAGCCGAAGGCAGATGCTTAACCAACTGAGCCACCCAGGCGCCCCTAAAATCTTCATTACTTTAAAACAATCTATTTGATGAACTCCCTGTCCACTGGCTACCTAAAAATCTGCCAATCAATCCTATGAATAAAATCCCAACATGTATAAATTCATGCTCCTTGTCAAAGGAAGTTTATAAAACATAAATAAATGTATTTGAGCAAAAACATTTTTCCTTTACCAACATTAAATTTTTATTTCCAGGTGAAAATGTAAACCAATGATTAAGCATGCTGATGTTTAGTGTTAAGTGGATACAACTCTTGTAAGGCCAACTATTTTGTTTTTTCAAAGTAAGCTCTAGGGATGCCTGGGTGGCTCAGTCAGTTAAGCGTCTGCCTTCAGCTCAGGTCATGATCCCAGGACCCTGGGATCGAGCCCCACATCGGGCTCCTTGCATAGCAGGGAGCCTGCTTCTCCCTCTGCCTGTTACTCCCTCTACTTGTGCCCTGACAAATAAAATCTTTTAAGAAAATGAATAAACAAATAAATTAAGCTCTAGGGGCACCTGGGTGGCTCAGTCAGTTAAGTGTCTGCCTTTGGCTCAGGTCATG